CAGGCAGGTGGAGCTGCTGAGAGTGTGGCTGATCAGACAGACGCTGAAGTGGTTGCAGATCAAGGATCTCCTACTGGCGTCTCGGAGTAGATGAAGACTTCTTTATTTCTTTTCAGCTTTTGTAGTCTGCTTTCTCGTTTAGAATAATTGGTCTTGTTTGACCATCTTCTCTTTGTTGAACTTGGCTGATTAGTCAGCTTGTTATGGAAATTTTAGTTTATTTTTCACTTCAATTTGCGTATTGATTTGTGAACTGCTTAAGTAACCAGCCTGTGCCTTGATTTCACATCTCCCTTTGGTGATTCATGAGTGCCAGGGTCCCCCTTGGAGGACTCCGGGCGTGTTTTGCATATCCCTTATGATGGTTCCTCTTAGGAAATTGGCGAGTGCCAGGGCTCCCTTAAGGGGCTCCAGGCGTGTTCTGCACATCCCTTAGGATGGTTCTCCTTAGGAAGTTGGCGAGTGCCAGGGCCCCTTTAAGGGGCTCCAGGCGTGTTTTGCGCATCCCGTAGGATGCCTTGGTCGTCACCCTGCATCTCCCGAAGGACGCTGCTTATGGGCAACTGTGTGACTATCCTGCCTCCCTTAGGAAACGGATAGGAATCTGGATACTTTCCGTAGGAGGCATGGAGACCTCATGTTAAGAAATTCCTAGCACACCCTGCATCTCCCTTAGGACGCTTTTTACGGGTTGCGTCTCCTGAAGGAAGCTTCTGGTCGTCGCCCTGCGTCTCCCTTAGGACGCTTTTTATGGGCAACTGTGTGACTCTCCTGCCTCCCTTAGGAAAAGGATAGGAATCTGGATACTTCCCATAAGAGGCATGAATACCTCTTTTTAAGAAATTCCTGGCGCACCCTGCTTCTCCCTTAGGACGCTTTTTACGGTCTGCGTCTCCAGAAGGATGCTTCTGGTCGTCGCCCTGCATCTCCCTTAGGATGCTCCTTATGAGCAACTATATGGCTATCATGCCTCTCTTAGGAAACGAATAGGGACCTGGATATCTCCCTTAGGAAATTCCTGGGGCACCCTGTGTCTCCCTAAGGACGCTTCTGGTCGTTGCCCTGCGTTCCCGAAGGACGCTACTTATGGGCAACTGTTGGGTTTTATAGTGACCTACCTGACAATGAACTGTGAGTCGTTGTCGTCAACCAGCGATTGTAGGCAGCCAAACCGACAGATGATGTTTCTCCAAATGAATCGTTCCACATCGGCTTCTTTAATATAGGATAGAGCTTCGGCCTCGATCCATTTAGTAAAGTAATCTGTGGCGACGATCATCATGTCATTCTTAGCGAGCACTGGTGGCAAGAAACCTACTAAGTCAATGGCTATTGCATGAATGGCCATGGACTGTTTTGAGAATGGTAGACTTCGGCAGGCAAGATAGGGATCGGCTTGCATCGATGGCAGCAATCACATTTCTTGACATATTCGATGGAGTCATGACGTATGGTAGGCCATAATTAGCTTATGTTTAGAGCCTTCTAGGAGAGCGATTTGCCCCCAGAGTGGTTCCCATACTCGCCATCGTGAATTTTGGAAAGAACCTCAAATGTTTGAGGGTACTTTATACAGGTAAGATGAGGGCCAGAGTATTATTTGCAGATGAGCTTGTTGCCGTGCACGTAGTGTCTCGCGGCCTTCTGCTGGACCTTCCTAGCTTCAGACTTGTCTGTTGGCAGGTTTGCATTCACTAAGTAATTGATAATGGGGTTTTGCCAGCTGGGGTCCTCGTCAATTTGCATTGAGCTGATTGGCTCTATTTCCTCAATGCTTGGTTGGTCAAGGTGTTCGACCGAGATGGAGCGTCTGAACAGGGTATCCAGTGCTGACCTTAGGCTGGCCAGTGCGTCTGCATGCGCGTTCTCTGCCCGAGGTACTTGTTGGATGGTAGGAAACTCCTTCAATAGCTCTTGAATTTTGTCAAGGTACAATATCACCCAAGCAAGCTACTTTGTCAAGTGCAGGCCGGCGAGCAACACCTCGTATTCTGTCTCGTTGTTCGAGGTCGGGAAACTGAGCGTGATAGCTTGCTCCAACAGGGTTCCATATGAGGTGATGATGATGACACCTGCGCTAGCTCTTTTTTGGTTCGACGTTCCATCTACGAGCAACTACCACATGTCTTTGGGTTGGCTAGGTGCAATAGAGGTTCCGTCTGCTTTTGAACTTTCCTTCTTTTTGTTGCTTGGGCTTTTATTACAGCTTTTAGCCAGTAGAAGAGGTCATATTGGCTTAGATCTATAGCCCACTTCATAAGTTGCTGAGAAGTCTCAGGGCTGTTGAGGATTGATCTCAAAGGAAAGTCGATCATAACGATGACTCGATGAGCTTGGTAGTAGGGTCACAGCTTTCTCGCGAAAACTACAAGGGCTAAAATGAGCTTCTCCAATTTCGGGTAGCGAGTTTCTGCATCAAGAAGAGCTTTTGATGTGTAGAATACCGAATGTTGGGCCCCCAGCTCTTCTCGAATGAAAGCTGAGCTGACAGCTTAGTTGGACAGTGCCAGGTACGCGAACAAGTCCTCACCAGGACTGGCTTTGAGAGCAGGGGAGGTGAGGTGAGGTAAGTCTTCAAATTTTGGAAAGCTACTTCGCACTCCTCATCCCATTTGTCTCTTTGTCCTTTCTTTAAAGTTTTGAAGAATGGTTTACACTTGTCGGTTGATCTTGAGAGGAATCGGTTAAGGGTCACTGCTCTGCCCGTCAAACTTTGTATGTCATTAACCGTGGAGGCGACTTCATCTCGAGAATAGCTTTGATTTGACGTGGGTGTGCCTCGATACCTCGTTGCGTGACTAGGTATCCCAAGAATTGGCCGGAGGATACACCAAATGTGCATTTACTTGGATTCAACTTCATGCGATACTGGAGGAGCAGGCTGAATGCCTCAGCGAGATTTTTGATGTGATCTGCACGTTTTGGGGTTTTGACCAGTATGTCGTCCACGTAGACCTCCATAGTTTTACCGATATGCTCCTTGAAGATTTTATTCACGAGTCTTTGGTAGGTTGCTCCAGCGTTCTTTAGCCCAAAAGGCATGACCTTGTAGTAGTAGGTCCTTCTCTTGATGATGAAAGAAGTTTTTGCCTTGTCATCCTCGTGCATCAAGATTTGGTTATAGCCAGAGTAGGTGCACATGTAGCTGTGCAGGAGATTGCCAAAAGTGGAATCCACGAGTTGGTTGATTCTCGGCAATGGGAAGTTGTCTTTTGGGCATGCTTTATTGAGGTCAGTGTAATCGACGCAGACTCTCCACTTGCCCTTCTCTTGTTTTGTCACCAGAATAACGTTGGCAAACCACTCTGAGTAGAAGACCTCTTTGATGAAGTCGGTAGCTAGGAGTTTGTCAATCTCGCTTCGATGATAGTGACTCGCTCAGTTGCGAAGTTGCGTCTCTTCTGTGCCACTGGCTTACAAGTAAGGTTGACATGGAGTCGGTGACAGATGATGTTCGGGTCGATGCCAGGCATGTCTGACGGCGACCATG